ATTTAAATCTGAGAAGTAAACGATGCCTAAATATTTCTTTTAAACAAAGAAACACCCACATATATAGTTGCTTTTTTTGTTTTTCCACACCACCAAATAAGTACTACCATGTTTGTTCTCAATAAATTATTATTTTTTGTTCACCTAACTATCAAATAATAGTTAATTTTGAGTATGCTAGTAGTTAGCAGAAGAAAAAATCATTTCTTATAGTACATGTTTCACTTAACAGTAATTCTACACTACAGTAATCTTAATAAGAAAATCTTAAAAGTTTATTAAGGCCTCGTTCATTTCACCGATTTGAGTTTTCAATTCTATGTTTCTACAGTAAAAAACTCTCAGAAAATGTCACATCTAACTTTTTTTGCTATAGTAAAAAGTTTCAGAAAATGTCATATTTTAGCTCGAATTGAAAACTCAAATCCACGAAGTGAACGAGGCTTAAGTGTTTCTTTTATATAATTGAATTTTTTGCACACCGCTAAATAAGTACTACGATCCTTGTTCTCAATAAATTATTAAATTTTTTCACTTAACTATCAAATCTTTTCCGTATGCTAGTAGTTAGCATAAGAGAAAATCAAGCGTTATAGTATAAGCGGTAATTTTATACTCTACAGCTACCTTAATAACAAAATCTTGAGTTTAAACTCCGCCCCTAATAAAATGGAGAAATTAAAGAACGAAAAAAAAATGTAGCTCATAAATAGAGCTGCGCTTTCTCTGTCTTGTTCTCGTGTATGAATTAATGAGAGAGTCTATCTTCCTATGTATTGAAGGTAGGGATGACAATTCGTGTCATGTGTCGTGTTTTGATCATTTATTTTTAAATTTATAATCAATCCGAATACGACTCGTGACACGAATTTTTTAAAAATCGCAACACGAACACGACATGACCACTTTATGGGTTGACTCGACACGACACGAAAGTGACCCATGACACAAAATTGGCCCGTGAACTCAAAATTTACGGGAAAATTGTATACTTTTATTTAATTTTTTACATATTAGAAATAACTTAAAATTCATAACACACAAAAATACAATAACATCCATTGAAATTAAGCAAATAATAGTATAAGATTTTGAGTATAACTTTCATGATATCACAAGTTCATAATAAAATAAAAAATATGTAATGAAAAATATATGTATTTTTTAGTTTTTAACGAATTTCGTGTCGTATTCGGGTTAGGCGGGCCCAACCTGAAATTGACCTGTGTTTTTTGTGTCAATTTCAGGTCGACCCAATTCTGATTCTGAACTTATTTTTTTTCAACCCTAATATGTGAAATTCAAATTGTTTTCGAGTTGTATTATCGTGTCATGATCCATATTGCGTACATTACTTGACGGTGAAAGTTTCCTTAGTATGATCTGAAGAAAATTAATTAAACAGAATATGTGTGTGTATATATATACACACATGCACATATATATTACACACACAACTAGTTGCCACGATCACGACAAGTTTTGGCAGGGTCGTGTCCTAATGTAGTGCTCACATAATGCCAACGCTAGCTCCTGTCCATAGAAGTGGTTTGATCAATTTGGTCCAGCTGTTCATCGAAGTTTGTCGTATGTTATTGTGTTTAATTCAAAATAAATGAGGTAGGTGAATTAATTCACCAAAAAAAATGAGGTGGCTGAATTCAGTTTGTCATTATGCGTCAGTATTTTTGACATGTCCAATTGATATGTGCAGTCACCGTTCTCATTCATACTTCCCCGGATGTGGGGGTGTATACATATAATACATGTGTGCGATTTAGGAATTTGAACGCTGAAGTTGACATGTGTCTGTGAATATGTATATATAGGTATAGTCTCGAGTCCGGTACTAAATTGTGTTTTTTTTTATTTTTAAAATATGTATATTTTTTTTAAAATGTATACATTTTTTCTTAAAATATGTACGTGTTTTATATTTTACTATAAAAAATATATATATTTTAAAAATATATGTATACATTCTAAAAAAAAAATATACATATTTTATAGATAAATGAACAACTGACGCTCCAGTCCCGACCGGAAATAATTCCTATAAATACCAAAAATACCATAAAACCCATTATATTTCCTTCTATATAACTGAAGTAAAATGGTTTTTTTTTTTTTTTTTTAAGCCGTTTCCTACAGCAGTTTCAAGCGCTCATTTTTTTTCGTTTATATTTCAACACAACAAAGAATTGATAAGTTATTGGAAAAAAATGGTCAATCATGACAAGTCGGACTTTTATTCTAGGACTAAGAAGTATAATCTCATAATAATCATTTCTCTCAAAAATCGAGTTCGTGGCCATAGACGCATGTGAATACCACATTAGAATCAGATAAATCACATGAGATGAGATCGAGTGAAGCACGTGCCCAACTTATTTTTAATTTTTCTCGTTTAAGTGTTATGTAGTTTTAAATAAAATTATCGTTTTTTTATATACTAAATTTTTTAATTTATAAGTCGTGTGGGGATAAATATGAAGTACTACAAGACGGGTCGTTTAATGGAGGGAAAAATGACGTCGTTCGTGAAACTTAGGAGTTCTTAGAGAAACTACAAAGCAGAAAAAAGGTTTAGACAATTAATTGAATCTGCAGAATAAGATAAAACTAATGTGGCTGTAAAAAAAATTCAGAATAGAGATGACGTGGATAGTAAATATTGAACGAACTGGATTTTAGGGAAATTTATAAATACTAAAGGCACGATGAAAAATGGATCTTTTTTACGATTTATACTCGTTGAAACATTGTGAATTTAGAGAGAAAAAACATATCAGTTCAGGAAAATTTATATATACCAAAAGCACGATGAAAAATGGATTTTCTTTTTCACGATTTCTACTCGTTGAAACTTTGTGAATTTAGAGAGAAAAAAACAGAATTTTAGTAAGAAAAAAGATCAATTTTGCATACAATTTTCCTTAGATATTCAAACCATTAACCAGATGACATGAGATCCCGTGAAGGCACACACATGCCTACTGAAAATTTTAAGTTTTAAGATATAAATATTATTGGAAATTTAATTAAGTCCTTATCTTTTCATAGTAAAATTTTTATTTGAAAATCACATATTTTTTTTCCTTTTCTTAAAAAAAAAAAAGAGAATCAAATATTTGTTCTTAACTAGTTAAGTTACGTGTTATGCACGTAAAAAATAACTCTGTAAGTTTGACCTCACGTTAAAATATGTGACTTCTTTAGAAGCCAAGTTCATTAATTAAAGTAAGAAGAAAAAAGGATTTAAAAAATCACACTAAAAAATTTAAAATAAAGGAGTTATTGAACTAAAAAAAAAGGGACATTTTTAAAATGATTTATTTTAATTAAACGAAAGTGATAAAAAGAAAAAAGTTAAATGAAGGACTTGTTAAAAAAATGAACTTCCAACAAGTATTAGGGAAAAAAACAAAAAGACAATACGTAAAAGAAAAAAAGAAAATAATTAAAAAAATTTAGAAAAAATAAAGGCAGTAAAAGAGAAAAAAGTTAACAAAAAAAATGATGAGAATACACGGCTTCCTTAAAAGTCAAGGTCATAACAGGATTGTTAGGTGTTAGATATTTTAGGTAGGTCCTACGTAGTGGTTAGCGTTTTTGGATTTAATTTTGAGTTCAAATCATGATTCTGAAATTATAATTTAAAATTATGAGTTTGAATCACCTTAAAATAAGATGGTAGTAGTTTTAAAATCATAATTTGAGTTAGTTTAAAATATCACATCAGATTAAATTATGATTTAAAATTATCCAAACTAAACACTGATTCTGAATCATGATTCTGAATCATTATAAACAAACACTGAATCTAAATCAGAACTTAAAATTATAATTCTGAATCCATTTATTAAACGCACTCCAAGTCATGCTGCTTATAATTCTAAACTAAAAACTCAATAAACATGAGGTAAAAGTATGTCAAATGATGTTTCATCACGAGCATTATGCATACAGGGAAAAAAAAATGCATGCCCATCTTGAAACCAATATGTGTCCCCTTGTCGTTCTCACAAACTGAGAGGACTCTCATGATTTTGCAATTTTTGAAAATTAAAAAAAGTGAAGTCAGGATCGTGCCACATAATAATGAAAAAAATAAAAACTTAAAACATAATTTAGAAAAATAAAAACAGTCACTAGTACTTCTGCTAAAAGCAGACGAAGTCAATTCTTCTTTTCGGCGAGGCCACTGAGGACGTACGTACACAAACCCGAACGTTAAAACGACACAGAAACAAGAAAGAGAAAGAGAGAATAAGGGCTCGTTTAGTTCATTGATTTGAATTTTTAATTCAAGTTGAGATGTGATTTTATATGAGAGTTTTTTATTGTAACAAAAAAATTAGATATGATTATTTGTGAAAACTTTTTACTGTAGTAAAACTTAAATTCTAAACTCAAATTAACGAAATAAACGGGATCTAAGTATTAACTGCATGATAGATGCTGAATAATTAAGAGCTCATTTAATTTATGAATTAAAATTATAAAATTAAAATTATTTTTAATTTATATATTTTTTTATAAAAAAATAACTATAATAAATTATAAATTATAATTTAAATCAAAAAAACGAATCTTCAAACTAAATAAGTTCTAAGATCGAAGATTTCCAAATAAATAGTGGGGTTGGGAGCAAAAAAAGGCCGTGACACAGGACTCATGACATGGAATATTCACCAGAGGCCGTCGTGTTCGTAGGATGGGCATCCAACGTGGGAGATCGACGCCCCGTAATGATCCTCTAGACGGTGGACACGCCACGCTCTCCATCGTCCGATGCGTGGCAGACGTGGCTCAATCTCTCACCACACATCCATCTACGTCGCTGGCCCCACCACTCTCTCTATGACGAAACTCCAGTCTCTCTCTCTCTATAAATGCGAAGCGATGTTGTTTGACGTTTTTCTGAATAATTTGCCAGCTTGTTCTGGTAATTGGAAGACGACGACGACGACGACGAGAACCCTAATTTGCCAGCTTGTTCTGGTAATTGGAAGACGACGACGACGACGACGACGAGAACCCAAAAAAAAAAAAAAAAATCATCATCATCATCATCATCCGTCCTCATCACGTCTCTGCAGCTGAAGTACTGGTACGACTGCTGGCCGGGGGGCTGAGGAGCGTAGATATCAGAATGGGAAGAGCTCCGTGCTGTGAGAAAGTTGGGCTGAAGAAAGGAAGATGGACGGCTGAGGAAGACGAGATTTTGACCAAGTATATTCAGGCCAATGGGGAAGGCTCCTGGAGATCACTACCCAAGAATGCCGGTAATTATCGTTATAAAAACTTCAATGTTTATATTTCAGAAATACACACACACACACACACACACATATATATATATATATGTTTATACATTTAATATTATTGTTTGGATACGGGAAAGTTACAAAAAGAGTCCTATATATTAGTATATACATGTGTTATTCTAGTTTCCTTTGTATTTCTTTCTTTTAATTTTGTATAACACACATTTTGGTTTCTTGTTGACCTTTTCTGTTTTTTTTTTTTCTTGGTGACAAATTTATTAATGCAGGATTACTGAGGTGTGGGAAGAGTTGCAGATTGAGATGGATAAACTACTTGAGAGCTGACCTAAAGAGAGGGAACATATCGTCCGAGGAAGAAGAGATCATAGTAAAATTACATGCTACATTGGGAAACAGGTCAGTGCGACATCCGCTTCTAATTACATTACTTCAGCCCCGTTTTAATCGATTCGAGCTTAGAATTTAATTTTTTTACAGTAAAATTTTTTTACAAATAATCATATTTAATTTTTTTACTATAATAAAAAATTCTTATATAAAGTCACATTTTAACTCAAATTAAAAATTTAAATTAACAAACTAAACAAGTCCAAATCATTACTTTCATAAGCCAGTAGATTTTAGTTTTCTATAAACGATGAGAGATGAGATGATATGATGTTTTTTTTTTTTTTTTTTTAAGTTGCTTAACTTTCTCTTGTATTAAAAAAACAGTTAAAAAGTAAATAATCAAATGTCAAAAAGTAAAATTATTATTCCATAAAAGGAACTAAAATTATTGAACGCGACACTATTATGTGGGCGCAAACGTATTTTTCGTGCGACTTTGTAGAATGATTATAAGTACTAATATTTGCTTTTAAAAAAATAACTTAGCTTTCTGCTATATAGTTAATTATTACCTGTCGTTTCTCAACTTTTTCGTCTACTTTCTTTTTTCTTTTTTTACTGATAATTGTCCCCTTTCAACCTTTTGAGTTAACTTTTTTAAAAAATATGTTCTCCTTTATTTCTTTTTCATTCTTATGATTCCAATTATGTGATCATCGGGGAAGAAACGTGCTTTTTTTTTATTTTTGGCTTGAAAAGCTACGTTTAGGCATTTATCTAGGGAGAGATTTCGACATTTGGGAAAGCCTCAGCCACTGGAACGTGTGTGATTCTATTCCTTTAATGTGCTTTGTTTTTATTTAGTACTTTAATGCGCCTTTTTTAAGGGCGTGCTTTGTTATTTATATTGAAAAAAATTAAAGAAAAGAAAAACGTTTATAAAATAGACATAGAATAGAAGAGCAATTCTTTTACATGATTCGTTGCAGGCGTAAAAAAAAAAAAAAAAAAGCATAGAAGGTACATCTACAACACATGGGATCTACGCTTTCTATGCAAGTTGTATGTACATGTTAAATGACGTAGTGACAAAAACTAATTTGAGATTGAGCACGGACAAAGGCTAAAGAAGTTTTTAGTTTTATTTCTTTCTATATCTATAGCCGACCAAAAAATTGTAACTTCAACATAGACCGTACAGTTTGTTAGTGTATCATCATCATGTCACACACTCATCAAGTAAAACGGCTACTTTTAATGCAACTAATATATATACGTGTATAAACAACAGCCGTTTGTCTTACCGAGTATAGTATTTATTATTATGCTTTTTTTTTTTTTTTTTTTTGGGTCACTCATTTTATATATCCTTCTTATTTATTTTCAGTTGTTGCAAGAAAATGTACACTTGAGAGTTAAAGCCTAATTTTTCTGATTACGCACTTTGCAGATGGTCTTTGATAGCTAGTCACATGCCAGGAAGAACAGACAACGAGATAAAGAACTATTGGAACTCTCACTTGAGCAGGAAAATCCATATCTTTAGAAGGCCAATCACAAGTGCAACTAATACTAGTCCTACTGATCAAACCATACCAAAGATCACTGATTTAACCAAAGTACTGAATGTTCCACCAAAGAGAAAAGGCGGTAGGGCGAGCCGATTAGCTTCCATGAAGAAGAAGAAGAAGAAGAACAGGAGCAATATTGTTAATAACAACATGCAAGAAGATCATGGCTCAAGTAGTACTGTTTCGAAGAACAAGACAAATGATCCGAAAGATCAAGGCTCATCATCATCTGCTAATGATGATCATGATCATGGTGAAGTGGTGATCAATCATGAGTTGGAGATTCCAGAGCCGCAAACTCCAACAATGGAGAAGGAGATCACTAGCTTGTCCCTTAAAGCCCTGGACTGCGACGTTGACGATCATAAGGACCTCGACGACTACCTTCTAACCGAGCCAATCAGTCCTCCTTGTCATGAAGCTGATCATGATCATGATGATCAATCAGGATCAGGAATAGCACAAGCTGGCTCATCAAGTGATGGAGAGAAGAAGATCACATCGACGGATCAAAACTCATCAACATTGTTACTTTGCCCTAGCTTTACTGAGGAGGAGGCTCTGGGACCATATGATGATAAAGAGGGCATGTTGTGCTTTGATGACATAATTGATAGCGAGTTGCTGAATCCAAGTGGGGTTTTGACTTTAAGCGAGGACAGCATAGGAAGTATTGGGGCAGCACAAAATAATAATACAATTTGCACGAGTCCAAACAAAGACATCAATAATAGCGGTAATTTGAGCTCAAATGGAGACCAAATTTGTACTACTGAGTCTTGGTTTTCGAGCTCTTCAATGGCTTCATCAGGTATTAATTTTGACGACGGTGGAGTTGATTTGTGGGGTTGGGAAAATACTAGCAAATCGACTGTGGCGCTAGGGCATGATCATCATCATCATCATCATGAAGAGGCAATGTGGGACCAGGAGAAAGAAAAAATGTTGTCCTTGTTGTGGGAAAGTGATAATTGGGAAGGTGATCACGAAGACGATAATAATCACAAATTTGGATCGGAGATTATTAACTCCGACAAGCAAAACGCTATGGTCGCTTGGCTTCTCTCCTGATGATCAAGATTGATTTATTATTTTGATTTTTCTCTTATTTTTCAGTTTTAGCCCCCTTCACCTTTTCTTTTTTTCTTTGGTTTGTAAAAAAGTACCCATGTGTTTGAGAGACGACGTCGTTGAGTGGTGGTAATTAAGTAGTAGTTAGTTTCATTTTTACTCTCAGCCAGTGTTTTTAATCATTTGATATGTGTGATTTTTTATTTTTTATTTTTCCCTTTCTGTGGGAGTGCTTCGCATTAATGTGTTAAATCTGTAGGGGACTCGAATTGTGAAAATAACTGGTCTAATTCAAGAACAACACATCTAGAAGGATCTGTTAATTAATGTTGTGCAATTTTAATGGTCCTGTTTCTTTTTTTGTTTTTGTTTTTTTCTTTCCCCTTTCTTTTTGGCAGTAATAGTTGTGATTTTGGGCCATGGTGGGGTCTTCTGTCTGACTGTATCCAGTGGCGTGTTGGTCCTTTAGCGACCCAAATGTCATTGTATTGTACCAAATGTGTGTCTTTGATCTTGGTCATGTTTAAATTAAACCCCTATATTTTAATACAATGTCACATTAAACTCACACCCTCTTAAATTTAGGTCCCATCCAAAAAATATACTTAACAAAAAAAGGAGCAATGAATTACGTTATTGTGGTGGCTGAAACAGTGTATTCTCCGACTACATTATAATATACGTCAAACTTATATTCCTATCCCAAGTATTTTAATGTCATTTGATATATACTTAACAAAAAAAGGAGCAATGAATTACGTTATTGTGGTGGCTGAAATAGTGTATTCTCCGACTACATTATAATATACGTCAAACTTATATTCCTATCCCAAGTATTTTAATGTCATTTGATAGGGTGGTCAATAACTTAACCTACCGTTATATTAGATAACCGTTATATTGGATAATAACATGGTTCTCAACTTTTGTTTTCTAATGTTTGGCTGATATACGGATTAAAATACGTTGTTAGACAATCAGATCCCACTAAGAAGAAGTTTGTTGATCGTTAATTACTCTTAGCTAGGTATTACATTTATGTTTCAGAAAAGATGCCGATTCCGTTGAATCTTCCACGGAAAGGTCCTTCTCGATTTATTAGTACGTGTGTGCATAATATAGACACAACACGATACACCCCTCTTTTTGCTGGCTTGATAGAGACACACTAACATTATTTTAGCTTATAATTACCATATTTATTGATCATTGTTCTAAAAAAAATAAAAGTTAATAACTTATTTAATTTTTTCGGAAAAAGAGAAAAATAATTACTTTGATCATCTTATACAAAATATATAATGGTCTTAACCTGATCGAACACCTTATGCAACGTTTTATTGGAAAAAAGAAAAATTAGGCGATGAAATTGAAGCAAATTATAACCATTTAGTTCTTAAAATTGATGTAAAAGGTTAGTTTACTAAAGTGTGGAAACTAATTTCCAACTTTATCATTTTTCTACCTTTTTCTACTTTGAAGGTTGATGCATGAGCATATTTAAATTTGAGAGACGGCCTATGTGGCCTGGACCTCGAATAAGTGTCTAGACATGTCTGTTGGGTGCGTCCACAGATTTATAAAGGACTCCTCAAAGTAAGGGTCAAAACGAGTAGTGTTTGGGGTGAATTCCCAAGCTTAATCATGAGTGATATTTAAAGAATTTGATTATGCATCTCTCATTAGTTACAACTTTGGGGAAGAATGGTTGCGTCAATCCTACATCAGTTGGTATCATAGCAGGAGTTTCTAAGTTTAAGTCTCCATGGGTGCGCCCTGGAGGGGACATTTTTATAAAGAAAGGAGAATGATGCAGGAGCATATTTGAATTTAGGAGGCGGCCTACGTGGCTTGAGCCTCGAAGAAGTGCCTGGGCCTTGAAGAAGTGTCTGGGCCTGTCTGTTGGGTGCGCCTACAGATTCGTAAAAGGACTCCTCGAAGTAAAAGCCCAAACGAGTAGTGCTTAGGGTGGATTCTTGAGTCTGGTCTTAGGTGATGTTTAAAGGATTTGATTGCGCATCTCTCATCAGTTGCAACTTTTGGGAGGAATGATTTCGTCAATCCTATATCAAAAGTTAGATTGGAAGCTTGGAGCTACTAGGCAATTCAACTCTTGCCAACAATTTTAGTTATGACAAAGCTGCAAAAAGGATGTTCTCTTTTCAAACTAAAAAAAGGGCGGTGTTTTTATTAATATTCAAATAAATTGTACTATTACGTTCTAAATTATTCGTATTTTTATTATGGATCACAAATTTCTAATTTTGATTAGGAATTATGAACTTTTCAATCAGTCACAGTTGAAGTTCAAAAGCTGATGACGTTATCAAATTCAAAAGTTCGAGACATAATATTTACACGTGACATGGTTTGAAAAATGACGATATTTACTCTTCATATTCATGATACCTTGAATAGTACTAGCTAGTCTTGAATTTAATCTTGGCCATACAAAATTGAGTCCTCATCTTCATCAATGATGTTGTTTTTGGCTAAAACTGACCTTCTCAACCTTGAAGAATGGTCCTCAATTTTATTGTCTGGTTAGGTTGGGTACGCACTGCTGATCAATATAGGTGTTGCATAAATAATTTGCTCAATGTTCCATGTGCTTCTTGTACGATGATTTAAAAGTATATATTGTCATTTGCATAAAAAACGAGTATGTATTGTCACATTCTATATGTTGTGCATATGAGGTATGTCACAAACTCTGAATATCCCTTTGAACACCAGGTATATTTATTACAATTATTGACCGATAATATTTGTAAATTTTAAAAGAAGATTATTAGTGTAAAAATCAGCTTATCAACTAAAAAAATAGCAAATACACGGGACTAAACTTGATTATCTGGAATTTAGTGGATTTATTCATGGGGGTAAATATAGGGCAAATCTCGTAATTCCCAAATCCGGGAAATTTCGTCATTGAGAAAATCAAAATAATGCCTAATTTACTAAATTTGGTAATGGTATAAATCTAAAGTTTTTTTAAACTAAACATTGGTTACCAAATTTAAAAATTAATGTCATTCTTATTTCACATTTCTCAAAATTTATTTACCTCCTCCTCCCCTTTTTGATGACCTGTGCTAAACCCATACAAAAGATGGGCTAGCGCCAATTAGCCCAATTAGTGCTGGCTCGGTTATGTACACTCAATTATTGTTGACAATAACCCAATTCATTTGCTAGTGCTAGCTAACTTATATTGGGTTCATGTTCTAGACTAAAAATATCTCCTGAGTTGAGCCAATCAAAGGACGCCACATCAATAAACCACGTCACTGTTGAACAATTCGGCAACGTGCATTACGTGGTTCGCTCCGGCAACCACATCATTCCCTCGGTGTTTTGATTTTCTTCATTTTACTAATATAAGTTTTTAATTTCAGTTTTATCACGGTAAAAAATTTTAATAAAAAATTATATTTATTTTTTTTATTATAATTAAAAATTATCGTATAAAATTATATTTTAATTAAAATTAAAAATTTAAATCGGTGAACTCAATGAGATTTAAATTATTACTCATATGAAAATAAATTAAATTAAGTATACGAAGATAGTTTATTCACAAAATAAAACAAAACAAAAAAAAACATGTTCAATTAAGGCAATGTGTATACTGGTCAATGTAAAAAATGGTCAAGAAAATAATTATTTTCCTTAAAAGTAATACTATAATAGACTGTTCCTATGAAAATAAATCAAATAATAAAAATAAATAGAACCCAAAAAGGGGAATTAAAAAGAAAAAAGAGAAATAATTTGCTTTTCCTTTGCTCTTACATATGAAATGATAAATGTATATAGAATTAATTTTAAAAATTTCCTCAAATTATGATCATTATAATATTTTATCTCCTAAATTTTAAAACGTAACATTTGTTTCTCTTGAATTTTATTCTGTTAATAAATTTCATCATTCCGTTATAATGAGTGACAGAAATCGCCATGTGTCACTTATTTAGTGAGAATTGAAAACGCAATTACGCTTATACCCTCCTAATCAGATAATTCACCATCTTCGTTCAAAAATCCAGCATATTTTTCATCATCATCATCATCTTATACTCTACAGTGTGTTTCAGTCCAAGTTTCTCTTCATCTCTCTATCCAGTGTGTTTCAGTCTAAGTTTCCAAAGCACGAGTCTTTGTCCAAAGACCATTGTTTTTTCCTTTTATCTCTCTATCTTCTCTCTTTCACTCTATGCAATTTTTTCCACTCCAAAACCTTAATTTCTAACCTCTCCTCCAAACTAACCATCTTATGGAGTTGAAAGGGTCACCTAACCTAATACTCATTTCTTATGGGGAGCAGATCGACGTCGATCTGGGGGTGGAAGATGGTCAAAGGCTGTGGGAGGAGGTGGATCTGCCTGGAGAAGATGCTATACTCGTCAATTTGGGCCGGGCCTCGCAATTCTAGCGTGACTGAGGCTGGATTCGAAGGTTCTGGTGTGATTGGACGGAGACGCACAATCCCGACACAGAAGGGCCGGATTCCATCCGAATTTGGAACGGGTCATGTGATTTCGGCAAGATTGAAGCGGATCCCGGCCGAATTTGGATCGGCCTACGTGATTCCTAGATTGGGGCGAATTCCGGCGAAGTGAAGGGCGGGTGTTGGAATGCTCATCCAAGCTTGGGTCTTTCCATTTTTTCTGGGAAAAAGAAATTTCTGATTGCATAAACATATTTTAAAAGCTAACAAAACATGAAAAGAAAGGAAATACTTGAAGCAAGTTGCTTCTACTGATGGGTTTTTCAAATTTAGGAGACGTTTGGTTCATAGATTAAAATCATGAGATTATAACTATTTTCGATTTACATGTATTTTTTGTGAGAGAAAACACTGTAACGAATTATGAATCATGGTACAAATCCCCTTACCAAACACACTTTTTTTATATCCGGATTTATTCTTTGTTATAGGTTTGGATTTATTATTTTAATTGGTGTAATTTTTTTAATTAAGATTTGGGATTGTTCATATAATGATATTCACGTGTTGGATTAAGTTTACGATAATACCCTATTCAGATGAATTGAGTTTATTTATGTGACAATTTATGTCACTTATTATAATAAAAGGATGAAATTTGTTAATAAAATAAAGTTTAGGAGAATAAATATTACGTTTTAAAATTTAAGGGTGATAGTTCGGAGGTTATTTTAGAAATTAATCCTTGTATATATTTATACTGGCTGTGTTGTTCTGAAGAGATCAGGAAAACGAAACTGAAACAGAGAAAGAGAGAAATACATAAATGAAGAAGATGGATCAGATCTGGGTATTTGCGTTTGGAATATTGGCCGTACTTCTCTCATCCGCCGTAGCAGACGACGTCGTTGTGCTCTCCGAGGATAACTTCGAGAAGGAGGTTGGTCAGGACAGAGGAGCTCTCGTCGAGTTCTACGCTCCTTGGTATTTTTATTTTTATTTTTATTTTTCATTTTATTCGATCGCAATTAGGGTTCGTCGCCGATCCAATTCACAAAACCAGAATTTTCAATCGTGAATCGTAATTTTCTTTTATAGATCCGTTTGCGTAATTTGATTTGTCATTTCACGGATGTGTATTGAGCTGTTAGGATTGATCGCGTTAGATTTTGTGAGATTATTGAAAAACGCCGTTAAAAAAAATATCTGCTTCTTCGAATTGTTTTAGCGTAGCATAAAGATAGTTTAACAATGGAGTTCTGCGTTTTATCAATTAAAGCAGTTTGGTTTCGACGACAGGTGTGGCCACTGTAAGAAGCTCGCTCCAGAGTATGAAAAGCTCGGGACGACCTTCATTTTTCATTTTTTATTTTTATTTTTCATTTTTCATTTTCTTCGATCGCAATTAGGGTTCGTCGCCGATCCAATTCACAAAACCAGAATTTTCAATCGTGAATCGTAATTTTTCTTTTTATAGATCCGTTTGCGTAATTTGATTTGTCATTTCACGGATGTGATTGATTTGATTTTGTGAGATTATTGAAAAACGCCGTTAAAAAAAAAAATCTGCTTCTTCGAATTGTTTTGCATAAAGATAGTTTATCAATTAGAGCAGTTTGGTTTCGACGACAGGTGTGGCCACTGTAAGAAGCTCGCTCCAGAGTATGAAAAGCTCGGGACGACCTTCAAGAAGTCAAAATCGGTTTTGATCGGAAAGGTAAGAACTTTTTGTATTTGTACGTGTTTTCTTGGATGCAATTTCATTTATCGTCGTAAACATTAATGTAATTTTGAATTTAATTGAGTTTTTCTTTTTGCAAATTGTGTTTTTCGTTGTTGTTGAATGCTCACTTGAGTTGTTATGGGGTTAATGTGGAGTAGGTGGATTGTGACGAGCATAAAAGCTTGTGCAGCAAATATGGGGTTTCGGGCTACCCAACAATCCAATGGTTTGCCAAAGGGTCTTTGGAACCTAAAAAGTAAGAACAATTTCAACATTTCAGCATTTACCAATACGAAGTTTCAATAGTTTAGCACATTTCCTTTCACTTCGTTTCATTTCAAAACCTGTGATTTAAACTGAAATTGATGTTTGTAGGTATGAAGGACCGCGGACTGCAGAATCACTTGCCGAGTTTGTGAACACAGAAGGGGGTAATTGTTTTTTCTTTGTAAATTTTGCCTTATTCTCATTGAAACGCATCTTTCATCAATCCTTTTTTACCTCTCTCTTTTGAATGGAGTTGAAAACCGTGTATAATATATATTTTTTATTTGTTTCCTAGTAGCTCCTCATTGTGATCTCTAGTAATTTTATTTGCTGGGATTTGCATGTCTCTGCTGCCAAGTTTTCTAGTCGGTGCTTACTTTTCATGTCAACGTATATCCACAGGAACGAATATCAAGATAGCTACAGTTCCATCCAGCGTAGTAGAGCTAACAGCTTACAATTTTGATGAAGTTGTCTTGGACGAAACCAAAGATGTTTTGGTTGAGTTTTATGCACCATGGTAATCTTGCATAACGCATCCTTTCCCATTTTTATTTTATTTTTCCCAACCATGTTGTATTCTGGAATTTTCTGGATGTCTAGAGTGGGAAGCATCTTAATCTTTTACCTGTTCTGCTTCTGCCAGGTGCGGCCACTGCAAAAACCTTGCTCCCGTAAGTTGTCACCTTCTTGATTTCATAACAATCTGTAGGAGCTTTTTATCTTGTTTTCACAGGTAATGATCATTGATCCTTTTCTCCTGTAGACCTACGAAAAGGTAGCGACTGCTTTTAAGTTGGAGGAGGATGTAGTGATTGCAAATCTAGATGCTGATAAATACAAAGATCCAGCTGAAAAGTAAGTGCACATTTACTGAAAATATATATTTTCTTAAGGGTCTTTGTAAGGATCTTTGTCAAAGGCTAATGCTTTTTTTTACAGATACGATGTTAGTGGGTTTCCTACATTAAAATTCTTCCCAAAGAACAACAAAGGTGGTGAAGAATATGAAGGTGGCAGAGATTTGGAAGACTTTGTGAACTTTATCAATGAAAAATCTGGCACCAATCGCGATGGAAAAGGACAGCTTACATCGAAGGTTAGCAGTAACACGAATTGAATACTATAGTTACGATAACTGCTTTTTGTTTATTTACTGGTTTAGTTGTTTTGTAGGCTGGCATAGTTTCAAGTTTGGATGCGTTGGTGAAGGAGTTTGTTGCTGCCAGCGATGAAGAGAAGAAGGTAGTGTTTTCAAAGATAGAAGATGAAGTTGAGAAGCTAAAAGATTCCACGGCAAGGTACTTCATCTCTGGCTGTTCGATTGTCATGTTTATTTATAACTTAAGGCTTTGTTTGGTAAGAGGGAAAGAAAGGTATATAATCTAGGTGAGGAAAATGGAGGTGGAGGAGAGCTTTTTTCTTATTTTGTTTGGTATGATTTTCTTATGGAGAGATTATAATTTGGGTTCTTTGAAGGATTTTGACACTTAATACATTTCCTCTTTTCTCTCCTACCAAACAACTATGGGTTCCAAAATCCTTCTACTAATCTTCTCACTTCTCTCCCTCCTTCCACTTTTCCCTCTTACCAAACAAGCTCTAAGTCTAGTCCTGTGAGGGAATTGATGGCTGTTTTCTGTATAACATTGCTAAGAAGATTTCAGGACTGTTACTCTTCTGTGTATATTCACGTTCTTTTCCAATTTTAACAAATAGAACTTTCATAAACCCAGCCATGATACAATTTGAGCCCTTTTCAGGTACGGAAAGATCTATTTAAAAGTTGCTAAGAACTGTTTAGAGAAAGGTGCTGGTTACGCAAAGAAAGAAATTGAGCGGCTTGAGCGCATGCTTGAGAAGGTAATAATCTTATGCTCTGTTTCCACACGAAAGCATGTAATTCATGTATATAAATGACTGCAATTAGATACCTTTTCATAAATCATATTTGTAGAAGTACAACTGAATAGATGGTTCTTTTCAAACAGTTTGAAACTGATAGTTACAAGAAATTGTTGTAAACTTTCTAATTATATTTTCTTTAATACAGATTCAGATAGTATTACAGTGAAAAATGTTATGTTCTGGTTGTTAAGACGAGGCTAATACATTTCAATGTCCTTTTTTCTGATTGGTGCAGTCAATCAGCCCAGCTAAGGCAGATGAATTCACCCTCAAGAAGAACACTCTTTCTTTGTTTGTCTGATCCTACATCAAGTATCATCTACTTTTGGAGGATCAGTTTTCCCTGGATCCCAAATTTTTAATATATTAGTTCATCCGAGCACGGCTTTTCAATTTTCCCAGTTGGTAGAAGGCAAACTTTATTCCTGTGGGTAATTAAATATGAAAAGCTTACAAAAACTGTAGGAGTTGATTTTTGCTTCAGGGATGGAAATGACTCAATGACATACATAACACGTCTTGGTTCTTATTGTTTGTTACTCTTGTACGCTTCATATTCAGATGACCTTATATCTGTTTTTGCCACAGACATCAGGTTTCAGGTTTTAGACAAGAAGGAACCGCTTCCTTCTCGTTGAGCCCTGATGAGAAAACTAGGAATACTTGAGATGCAAATGGTATCCGTTGAGTTTTGAGTCTTTCAGATACCTTCATTTGTAAGGATTTACTCTACAAGATCCAAGGCGCGGGACTTGTAATAATCATTGCTTGCATAGAAAACAAACCAAGTGCGACAGCTCCTATTTTTACTTCGGCAGTGATTGTTTTAGGCCCCGAAAAAATTATAATAGCAACTGTCCTTTGATCCTACCGGTATAGCAAAATTTTTTATTTTTATTTTTTTTATTTAAACAGTTAGATTAAGTTTTAACAATCAAATCTATTGAGTGGGTGCACTTGTCAATCATTGCTTGCATAGAAAACAAACCAAGTGCGACAGCTCCTATTTTTACTTCGGCAGTGATTGTTTTAGGCCCCGAAAAAATTATAATAGCAACTGTCCTTTGATCCTACCGGTATAGCAATTTTTTATTTTTTTTATTTTTTTTATTTAAACAGTTAGATTAAGTTTTAACAATCAAATCTATTGAGTGGGCGCACTTGTCTTCTACGGTGTATTATTTTAATGTGGACACCTAAGAATTT